AACTTTCACAACAGACAACCAGTTTTAACTTAATTTATGGTTTCTCTTTCCCATTTGTGGCAGCACTGTTTCTTTTCAGAAAACTTCAGATAGCACAGTACGGAGCTATCCAGAATATTCTCAAACAAAATCTCCAATTTCGTACACACACACAAAATTACTATGTTGTTATGGCACAACTATTACAAAGTATGTCGCCAAAAATAACAAATAAGATCTTCAACACTAAAATGGAAGCACCATGTTCCTCCGACATGCGGGTATATACTATCCACAAGACGAAACGACGCAACAGTCCAGAACAATCTGAGATCTGCTACCGTACGAAATATTTACTGAAAGGGACAGAATAGTTTAAATTCGTGTGTCACAAACTGTATCTTTTTCCAGTAATATTTTGTTACCTTCCTAGACGAAAGTTTATAAACACGGTTTATTTTAGGTTGTGTAAATTTAAACTCCATAATGGACCCTGCTCTTATTTGACGAGAGACGAGGAAGCACATCACAAGACACGAAGAATACACTAATAGTTCCACCGGCAGACGGGCCCCTATGGCGATGACCATTGGCATGTTTGTAACTGTGACGTCACAGGACATTGCAACACGAACGGCGGCCGATATAATACAATGGTTCCGCGCAGTTGCTGTAGCAGAAGCGAGAAAGCATCATCTCGAGTTTTAAACGTAAGTAGAATTATCTGAATAACAGTCACTGTTCTAATCGCGAAGTTAGAGCTACCGAATAGACAATTGAGCATTGTCTTTATTCTTCACACTTCTGAAAAGGTCTTTTTCACTGTTAACATTTCTGTGCAGACCTGCTACATGAACCATCAGTTTAATTTAATTACTCTTTGCAGTAAGTACATCAAGCTATCACATTATTGGGAGGCGGAATCCATCCGTCTGTCCGCATGGTTCAACTGCAGAACTACTGAACGGATTTCGATTAAATGTGGTACTGGAAACGGGGAGGTATACACCACAAGTTGTCAGACAGACGAATTTATGTTTGCCCACATCGGTCCGATATGACCACTACATTAGGATAGAATAGGTCCTTATCAATAGTTTGTTTAAAAAACTGCACATAAAACAAATGGTAAATGATATAAAATATACGTCTCATTTCGAATGTATTTGACACCGTTTGAGATATATTGCGAGTGTAACGAACTAACTAACTGACTAATTTGATAGGACTTTCGGTTTCTTCTTTCCTTTTTACCTCTGACAATCCAACCAGAGAACTTCCCTCTCAATACGAAGTCCAACCGCAGTAGATTCTTGGATCGACCCCCAAGTCCAGAGAATGTATACAATAGTCTTAAACAAATCGCAGCAAACGTTAAGGACGTGAACCTATGAAAAGTAAAAGAAGTTTTGTAAGGAAGTATGATGCCATCATAAAGTTGTCAGAACTATCGTTATAAATGATATTATTTGATGATTCATAATATCCACCAGTACAGATTCTAACTACTTAAGTATAAATTTGTCAGCCGAGAAATCAAACGGTCTAACCATTACAATGTTTGTAATTAAATACAAAAACAATAATTCATTTTAAAAATGTAAGTAGGCCTGTGTGTATGGTTTATCTCGTAACAAAAGTTTATGTGTGTCAACTCCAATTGTTCATTACTTATAACCATCAAACAGAAAACTAAATACGTCTATAGATGTCGTGCGGGTGACGTATTTTAAACTACGAAGGAGAGTTAGCGAAATATAATTTCGAACTCGGTATTAAAGGGCGGTAGTGTTGCTCCCACTTTACCACTTTGCCTGCACATGCTACTGGCGTCAGAAAATTAAAGGTTATTCAAACCAATTTTCATGAATATCCAGAAATTTGTTCAGGAGTTTGGACATGATGATACTGTAGATAAATCTATATTCCTTTATGAAATAAGAGTAATAAAAAATATGTATCGTAATCATTAACTGCTGTTAGAAAGTTTCTAACTAAATGAATTTTTTTGAGCGCAAGAAAAACCAGATTTAATAATTACAAAACTTGGACTAGACTTCCAGTTTCATCACAAGTTGTTCAAACCTTGTGACACGACAAGATGCCAACGCGGTAAACAACCAACTCAAACTGGCCTTGTTTCAGCACTCACGAGTCTAGTGCCGTAATGTTGCCAGGCGGATTTAAGAAAGCAGTTCGCCGCATCTCCCCCCACCCCCCCAAAAAGCACTGATATTCTAATTTTTGTTTATTTAACGACGCTGTCAGTAGCTCAGACTTCTTTTCGTCAGATGACAGGATTAATAGTAATGAACAGTAAAACGGAAAGGATGTGGAAGGAGGCTGTCTTGGCCTTATTTTAAGGAACTATCCCGGAATTTTCGTAGACGGAATGTGAGAATCTCCGGACACAGATTTTAATCATGGATCTCCAGAAAACACGTTCAAGCACAAAACTCATTTAAATAATAGGCGAATTTAATAATTTTGGTCCTACCTCCTGGAAAATACACCGTAACGCCGTTGCGAATGTCACTTGGTTTTTAACGTTTAGGGGAGCGACTGCTTGGCACTGCAGGAACCAAAAGAAAAACATAAATACAATATGTGGGTAAAGTCACCGTCAAAGATTTAACAGAAACATAAAACGATTTGTGTTGTAAAATCACTGATTAGTTATTACAAGTGAACGATCAGTAATTCAGTAGTCCACAAATGATATTTTAAACTATAAGCTCATAGTTGTGAAATATGTTTTGCGGCGTTTATATAAATTCATATAACCCAATGAGGACAGTTGGTACATAGGGTCCACGTGTCAAAGTGCCTGAGAGCCCTGATAACTTCTGTCTCCATAAATTTACTTAGATACATAAAGAAGGTTATAGGCTTGCCCCAGAAAAAATTGACTTTGCTTTCAAAATAAAAGAAGTCATGTAAATTATTCTCGAAAAATAAATTTACGTCTATGAAATTAAATTACAGTGAAGATCGGGTTAGATTATAACAAGTGAACACTATTTATACCGTAAAAACTTAGGAAGCCTATACATGATCAGACTGTTATTTTACATACAACTTAGTTACCCATTTCAGAACATTATTTTCAGGGCGTAGTTCTTAAAATAAAAATACTGGCGCGATCTGGCACGCAGTTGTCGAAAGAAATAAGTACGAATCATTATAAACGTCAACCAGACGCAACAACAACAGAAGACTACCATCTTCAGACTCGCCGGCATCATAACGTCACATGTCACAAATTCTAATTTAAATGTGTTACATGCAACCTCAAAGTTCGTATTGTTACCACATCTGTAATTACAATTATAATTGTTCAAATCCAGGTCCAAGTAGTTTCCCACACAGACTTTTTATTTAGATTTTGATTGGATCTCCATACAAGATTTCGCATGTATAGTTCCAATGGCTGATTAACTTATGGCCGTATGTCGCTGCTTTAAATTGTACAAGAAAATTATACAACAAGTTTTTCACAATTTAGGAAGATTTGTTGCTGCAAAAAATTCAGGGCCCTATTTGCATACAAATTGTAGTTGGTGTTTTCGCTTGACAAGGTCGCTTTGTTGTCATGTTCTTTTTAGGTTTACTGACTGTAGAAAATTAAAAGTGGGAACGTGGTATGCAGTGGTGGTGGTGGTGGTGGTGGTGGGGGGGGGTTTATTATAGAGGTCATTACGTGCAAACTCTAAACTGTTCAAAGAAAATATGCCGCCTTATGCCGTAGCTAATTGTTTGTAGGCACATGTTACGATAATTTTAAAGTTATTTTAGTTAGACTGAATCTCTCAACACTATTCCAGGCTGCGATATCTTGATAGTGTTTTCCTTACTAATGTATTTAAAATAAAAATTATCTATTGCGTATTTAATTCTGTTAGTGCACGAATACCTATTAGATTCATTGGAGGTGACTGTACATTTATGGTTGCCGCAGTCAAAGTCTAAAGATCAGTTCTTTAGCTGGACGTGTTTCTGTTGCCAATGCTACTTGCAAGGACTGAGACATCTACAACAAGGATTATATTTTACTAACGGATATTTAATAATATTGTTTGTACTTAGATTTGTACACTTTGTCTATTTTCTGTGTTTCATGTTGTACATCTGACCGTATTTTGTCTTTTTTAATCTTTTACGTCATTTGTTTACTATATTATTTGTTATTGTACTTTTTCGTGCCTGGATGTAACTAGCCTTGTTTGTTTTCTGTCAAGAACGCGAATAAACGCATTTAATTAGTTCTCTGAAAAGTGTTATAAGAAATACTTTTTGAAACACTGAGCTAATGAGACGTGTTTTCCATCATACTGGAAACATTACTGAGACGCCTGCTACCTCATAAAGCATGCAAACCATAAGAATTACGTTTTACTGCAAGAACTGCCAAGTACTTTTCGTCGTAAAAAACGTCAATCTTATGCAGATGTTTTACAGGCCTGCTTATAAACACAAAAATTTTGTCTTTTTTGAAGTGTACGTATCTACTGGTTATGATTCCAGAAGTATGCGCTATTCACATTAAATATGAAAACATCAGAAATCTTTGATACAAAAAATTAAACGAAAGACGAGTTTAGGGGGTACTGGGGGGAGCGGTGTAAAATACCGCGCGTGTTCTTTCTTCCTTGGTATCTCGTGAATAATTTTAATTTGAAAACCTGAAGAGAAGAGTGATTTTGTCTTCCCGTCTGATTTCTAAGAACCTGAAAATTAAAGTATACAAAACAATAATTTTGACTGCTGTTTTGTATGGGTGCGAAACATGGTCTCTCATTCTGAGGGAGGAACATAGACTGCAGGTGTTTGAGAATAGGGTGTTGAGGAAGATATTTGGGCCTAAGAGAGAAGACGATGGGGCATGGAGAAAACTTCATAATCATGAGCTTAAAAATCTGTACTCCTCCCCCAGTATTGTCAGGGTGATTAAGTCGAGAAGAGTGAGATGGGCTGGGCATGTAGCGCACATGGATGGGACAAGAGGTGTGCACCGGGTACTGGTTGGGAAACCTGAAGGGGAGAGACCGCTGGGGAGACCGAGACGTAGATGGGAGGATAATCTCCGGCGGAATCTATGGGAGATAGGAGTTGAAGGAGACTGGATTTTGTTGGCCCATGACAGGGTCCGGTGGAGGGCTTTGGTTAATTCGGTGATGAACCTTCGGGTCCTCTAAGCCAGCTAGTTAGTTAGGTAGAAGAGAAGAGTGCACTTGGCAAACCTAGGGACGGATTTGATTAAAATACATCTTAATGAATTGGAGCATGAAGATGTGGACTGGGTTCGCCTACTCAGGATAAGGTCCAATGGTCGTGTGAAATGTCTACCAGCTGAGCTACCATCTTCTCAAGAAAGACTCAGATTAATGGAGTAACATGTCGTAATTAGTCTATCTAGTTGCTATGAATAACGGAACACAATTTTGTAGGATAGGGACTGTGCTATACTATGTACCTACATACTTATCTGCATCAAGACCAATGTGGAGTCCGAAATTACAAATATGCATTTAAAATGTATTTTTAAGATATATACACAGATTTACATGTGTTAAATATAAGCAGTTTCTTAAAGACCTACTCGTGTATGCAT